CTGGGCCAAGAGCCTTCTCAGCCCCCCAGTGGGCCCCGCCCCACCCTGCCTAGCAGAAACCATCCCTGGGACCTCCAATACTGCGGATTAGTTTTGGCTGCTCTGGAGACCTGCTACTACTAGGAATATACTTGTATGTGTTTTACCCAATACATATCTATTGGGTAAATGCACAGGCGTGGAATTGGCATGGTCATAACTATGTAATAAACTGAACCCTGGCAGCTGGGTGAGAGATGAGCTGGAGGGTCATCCACACATCCAGGTACATGCTCCAGACTGCAGCAGGGAGCTAAGAGACTATGGCTGTGATTCAGAGCCCTCCAGGGACAGGGGGGCATCAGCCAGACCTGGTGTCTTTAAAGCATTGCTTGAGAGGGCGGTGATGGGATTTAAGACCATTACAATGACTTGGGTGTCAGTATGTTGGGGAACATGTGGGGTTAAGTAAGCCCTGGCCGGCAGGGAGGAAGGATGCCTGGACCTCAGTGCGTGGAGCAGGGCAAGGGGCCCTATGCAAGGAGAGTCAAATTTGGAATCCTGGTCTGAGGGCCTATGGGCTGTCCAGGGCTCTGGCAGCACTTGGGTAGGCAGGTGTAATGCCCCTTGGGCAGCTGTGAGCGGGAGACCCCAGGTGTCACCAACACAGAGCCCAGTGTGTCAAAGGGACTAAGAACCATCTGTGACCCCTGTAAAGAAGTCTGCAGCACAGACAGCTCCACACAGTTAACTCACTGGATTAACTGTCCCCAGCATCCAGGGTCCTTCTGTTTTTCTGCATGACCCTTCCAGTCAGAATAAACCCCTCGTGGTTGTATGAAGTCCAATGTGTCTAGACATGCCTCTTCAGGTTTCCTTGGCCATGGTCGTGCCCCAGCCCACAGCCACTCCCAGGGAGGATGGGGCCCCCGTGTGAAGGTCACGTCCTGCTCTTCACTCCCATCGGGCCACTGGGAGATGGACTGTAGGGAAGGTGGGGAAAGGTGACTGAAGCCTTGGAAGGGAGAGGACAGAGGGAGAAAGGAGAGCCAGGATTGGAAGGCCGGGTTTTCCCCGCCTGCCTCCTGACCTTTGGGGTGTACAGTGGGCAGCAAGCACATCGGAGAGCCAGGGTGGACCCAGAGCGGGGAGAGGGTTGGTCAGGGGCTGCGTGTGCCCCAGGGCAGTAAGCGCCCACCTAACCTGCCGTGGGGGTTCAGCCTGGCCTGTAACAGGGAGCTTGTCAGCTGTGGGGCTGGAACGCAAAGCCTCTTGAAAAAGAGTGACTGCATTTTCCTGAGAACGCATTAGTAGTTCAGTTGAGTCAGTGCCCCAAGGTTGTCAGCGTGAGACCTGTCCGGAGTCGGAAAGCCTGTGCATTTTGAAGAACCAAGGACTACTATTAGACCTTGGCAAAATTTCTAATTGTGGGGTCTTGCCACCTGGACAAAAGGAGATAAAATCCTTTACATTAAATTTTTAAAAATTAAGAGGTCAGGAGGAGGAAGAGGAGCCCTCTGTGGGGGCCAAATGGAGTAGTTAGAGAGGAGGTACAGGCTCAGGGAAGGCGGCCGTGGAAGCCAGCACAGAGAGCTCAGAGGTGTGGAGGGAAATTGGGGCTGGTGGGGGTGCCGTGTGCCACGGTGCTGAGACAGCAGCAAAATGCAGATTAGGCGAGCCGGTGGGATTCGCCCATCCGGAGGTCACTGCTTCCACTAGGGAGAGGGGTGCTGCAGGGGCCAGGGCTTGAGTCAGGAGGGTGAGGATGTGAGCTCAGCAGGGTTTAGTGGTACAGAGGAAGACCGCGGAGGCTTCCATGGCAGGGAGAAGGGTTTATTTTTCCTTTTAGGTTGGTGGATACTTGGTCTCATGTGCAGGCCAGGTCCCAGGAAAGAGCGCCTGGGAGCTTATCAGCTGGCAGAGGTGGGAGGTTGCTCAGGGTGGTGGATGCCTACCTCGGAGGAGGCCAGAACCCAGGGGCATCTCTGGAGGGCCTGTGCCTGAGTTGCAGGGGAGCCCGTCCCTCTGCCCCATGGATGTCAGGCCAACAGGACAGCTGCACAGAGCACTGAGGCCACAGGCCTCAGGAAAGCAGGGAGTCATGGGGAATGCTGCTAATGGCGGCACCTCCTTACCTGGTGACATGGCTTTCTTCTGGACTTTTAGGGGAGAGCAGAGCCATAACCATCAGAGCTGGGAATGAAGTCTGATTTACAGCTTTGTAGCTAAGGTAAAAGAAACTGAGGAGAGAGGGAACTGATGACAGCAGCCCTCTTCCTAGATCTGAGAGCATGAAGGAGTCGTAAAAGGGCCTGGCCTCCTGCCTTTCCTCCAGGCCCTGTATGGCATTCTGTTGAGCTGCATCTTGAATGACTCTCTTGGGTCCCCTGAGATTAGTGGATTCACACATCTTTGCACAGCCCCTGTCTGGGGGAACAGGGACCAGGCCTCAGGCCTCCTGCCTCCTACCTGACAAAGTAGGAAGGTTTTTATATCCAGAATTCCAAAGCCAAGAAGAGCTGTGCAGGTGCCAGGAAGTAATGAAGTCAATAGCAAGTATTGGGATATTAAGAACTGATTGACGGTGGGGGCAGCAATGTAATTGCATGTTAAATAGA